ATAAATATTAAAAAAAATAAAATAAAAATAAATATTAATTTATTATATAGAGCATTTACAGAAAATTGTGTATCAAAAAGATTTGGAGGAATTAGTAAAAATCAAGAAGCAATGCCAGATCCAATGCATACATTTTGTTCATTAACAGGATTATCATTAATTGGAGCATTACCAGTAAAATATACAATTGATTCAAGAATAGGAATTGAAAAACCATCATATCTTTGATAAATTAAAAATGAATTAAATTTTTATTTTTTCTTTTTTTTTTTACAAATAAAAAAAATTAATTATCATTGTTTGCAACTTGAAGTAATATTTTGTATATTTCACTAAATGCTTTATTAATTTGTTCTATTTCTTTTCCTCCTGTAAATACTATTTTTCCTGATGCAAAAATTAATAATACCATTTTTGGATCTGCTAAACGATATACAACACCTGGAAATATTTCAGGTTCATATTTAGTAATTTTTGGAGCAAGTTGAATTAATTCTTTAAGTGAAATTGCAAATTTCATATCACATGATGCAACTACATTTTGTATTTTAAAATGATTAAATTTAACATTATATCCTAATCTTTGTAAAATTCTTGCATATTTTCTTCCTGCTAATCTTGAATCATCAACTGTTTTTCCACCAGTAACAACTAATTTTCCTGAATGAAAAACAAGTGCTGTTGTTTTTGGATTTGTAATTCTTATTATTAATGCTCCAAATCTTTTAGGGTTATATTCTGCATTTCTAACTCTACGAACAACATCTTGTAAATTAATTGTACAATCAAGTTCTACTGTTGCTACAATATTTCTATTACTTTAAATAATGGATTAATTTATAAAATTAAATAAATAATATCAAACTGAATAACTGGTTTTTCAATTTCATTTGTAGGAACTGGTAATTGTTTTATTATTGGTTTATTGTTATTATTTAATAATTCTAAATCATTATTTGTTAAAGAAATAGGAGATGATTGAGAAGACATTTATTTTTTAAAGATTATTTTCTTTTTCTAATTTTTTTTTTTTATTGAAAATCTAATTTTTATAAAGAATAAAATAATGAATGAATTATGAATAAATGAAAAGATAATATAATGAAAGAAAGAAAATGAATTAAAAAAAAAATAATGAATAGAATATTAAATATGAATAATAATGAACGCAGTTCATTAGAAATTAATAAACAAGAATTAAAAGAAATAATTTTAAGAGAAATTAAAATTAAAACTAAAATACTTCAATCAAATCAAAAATTTAATGGAATAAAATATGAAGGATATTGTAGTGTTCTTATTGGAGATGAAGTTCCAGGGAAATTTACAATTAGTACATTTCCACCACCAATTGAAGATGAATTTTTTTCAATAGAAAATTTATTAAAAATAATTGAAAAATTTGAAGAAGATATTGAAATTATTAATACAGCAATGTATTGTATTGCAATTATGGTATTAGAAATAACAAATAGAAGTAAATTTAAAAAAAGTAAAGGAATTGAAATTATTAAAAAAATAATTAGAAAATATGAATTTAATTTAACAGTTTTAAGATGTTGTTGTTCAATATTAGCAAATGTTGGACCATATATTATTAATTTAGAATGTATTAAAGAAATAGAAATAATAATAAAAAAATATCCATATGATCAATTTATTCAAACAGCATTATGTGCAACATATGCAAATTATGCAAGAATAAATCCAAGAATTATTGTTGAAAAAGGAATTATAGAAAAAATGAAACCAATGTTAAATGAAATAAATAATACAGATTTACAATATTCAGTATTAGCAGCATATTCAAATATATCAAGAAATTGTATTATTGGACAAAAAAAATGTATTGAAAATAAAATACATGAAATAATAATAAATAAATTAATAAAAGAAAAATGTACAATACAATATTGGAGAATTTCATGTAATACATTAGGATGTTTAACAATAAATGGATTAGGATATGAAAGTAATGAAGTAGTTAAATATGCAGAAAGAAAAGGATTAATTGATAAAATTATAGAAATTCTTCATATTATTGAACATAAAGAAATACAAGATAAAAGATTTGAAAGAATGTATGGATGTTTAGCAAAATTTGCACTTGTTCAACCAATTAGAAGAATTCCTAAATTAATTTGGATTTGTTATCAACAATGTTTAAAAAAAATAATAATACCAAATTCATTAAATAAAATATTTAATAATGATTCATTTAAATGTCATATTTGTAAAAAAATATGTGATCCAATGATGATAAGAAGTATTAAATTTCAAGAAAAATTAATATTAATGTCATATTGTAGTATAAAATGTTGGAAAAAAAGACATGAAAATTTTAAATAAAATTTTTTTAATTAAAAATCATTAATATTAATTTCTTTTTTAGATTTAGAATTAAAATAACGTTTATCACTTTCATTAAGAATATATTTAATTAAATTTAATTGTTCATTAATATTCATATTAGTTATTAATTTACTAATAATATTTTCAAATTCAAATCCAAGATTTTCCATATAAATTTGTCTTTTATAAATAAAATATTCTTCATGTGTATCTATTGATGTTAATGTATAAAAATATCCAATTCCTTCATTTTTTTTAATTCTAGATATTCTTCCAAGTCTTTGAAGTTGTTGTTTTCTTGAACCATTATTTGTACTAATTTGAATAATTACACTTGCATCTGGAATATCAATTGAAGTATCTCCAACACTTGACATTCCAATATAATTAATTTCTTTTAATTTAAATTTATTTAATATATCTATTCTTTCTTTATTTGGACTTTCACCAAAAAAAATTGGACAATTTATTTGATAACTAATTTCTTTAAGAACAATAATTGAATCACAAAATATTATTATTTGTTCTTTTCTTTTTAAATGTTCTTTTATAAGAAATTTTATTACTTCAATTTTATTTGGATTAAGTGCTGTTAAAATTATTTTATGTCTATATTTTGAATTATTAATATATTCTTCATAAAATGGAATAGTCATTGGACATTTAATTTCAATACATTGAACTTTAGCAATATATTTTTCTTTAATTAAGTCTTTCCAATTTTCTTGATATAATATTGGTCCTATTAAATAATCTAAATCTTTAATTTTATAATCTTCTCTAATTGGTGTTGCTGTTATTCCAATTTTACATCTTGTTTCAATTAAATAATATATTTTTCTAAATTCTTTTGCTACTGATGAATGAACTTCATCAAGAATCATCATTCCATATCTTTTTTTATTTATTTCTTCAATTTCTTTTGATTGAATCATTTGATATGTTGTTATTATAATATAAC